GTTAAAAGAGCTTGCTACAACACCGATCGATCCAGCGCGTGCGCACTGAATCCCATGGGTGTGAAGCACAGAGACCACATCGAAGATCTTGGTTTATATCATGAATGGACAGATCCGGACTTATAAAAACTAAAAGATAATTGAAGAAAGAAGATACATCGAAGACGGAAGAAGAAAAACGTGTTAAAATTTTTCTTATTGAGGGAACATTGGTTTTAAAGATTTTGCCTATGGGGGGGGAGTAAAGCGTAAAAGGAGATGCTAATTTTTTCTTAAGGGCTGTGGTTATGTGTGTTATAGCTTTGGAATTACTCTCTGTTCAGTCAGATAAACCGGTTTGTCAGCAGAAGCGATGATTGGCGGGCACTCTTCATGTTTGAAAGTAACTGTATAAGAGTAACAACTATGTAAAACCTCCATTCTTGGGGTTTTAGTTAGGTTCTTTTTACTTTCTCCTTTAGATTGTAGATTCTCCCTCCCCAAGTTCTGTTGTAGTTTTATAGAAATGCAAATTTTAAAAAATCCCCTTCGGGGGGCCAAAAAAAGAAAAAAAAAAGCATGCTCTGCAATTCACTAGAATTTCCTTGTCTAGGCATAGCACTCACTGGACTCGCACTTCCGGGAGGAAACCGCAGCTTTGTTTGCTTTTCTTTGTCCTCCCTTTTGGGAGGCATCATGTTTAGTGATTTGTTTACTTTTTGCCGTGAGTTACAAAAGTTCCGAGAATCTATACCAATGCTTGGTAAGTTCTCAAAAGTTCTCTCTTTTTGCCAAAATCGCTTTGTAATCCAGTCCCCTCTTGATCCGCTTATAAAAAGGTTATTTTTTAGTCCACCCAAGAGAGGGTTCCCCCACCCCTCGGCAATATCCCGGCGGGTTCTCCGCTTAAATATTTGTGTCTTCGTTTAACCAACACTCACAGTTCAACATAGCTCGCCTTTTATAGCTTAGAATCGCTTGGTCATCAGTCGCTTGATCCCGGTGTGCGCTCTTAGTACCATTGCAGTCGCTCTGCATTGGGACCGTCGGGGCAGGAAAAGCCCCCCTTTACCGGCCAGTTCGCTGGGAGAAGAGCTCTCAAAAGCCCCATGGCTGGGAACCCAACATAAGGGCTCCAGGGGGGGTCACGGACAATCTGACCCCTCACAGCCGCAGGCGCTGGTGGGAGTCTCCTGGAGGTCCAGGAGAAATCAACCGCCATAGCAGACTCAATAACTCGAAGCCCGGAAGTATTAAAAAAATCTCATCCCTTTTCATTGGTCTCTATTAGCAAAGCCAGTAAATAACTGTTTTTCCTTCTTATTGGTCATAGTAATGCCTTTCATTTATTGGCTTGAAGGTTGAAAGAGATAAGGGTTACAAGCTTCCTGTTTTTTTCAATGAATGTCAAAAATTCAGGGAAAAGGCCTCAAATAATTGCTGGCGGGGTGATGCCCCCATAAGAGCTCCTCATAGCTATTTCAGAACTTGGGCTTTCTAGATGCAGACATTAATCTCTCCTATATTATAACCCTGTTTTGGGGTGGCGAGATTCTATGCTCTCCCTCAGCCATTGGCCCATCAGCTGCCACTCAAGAGTACTCGCGTGCCATTGGCCAGGTGCTGGGTCTGCTCCTCTTCCCTGCCCACTCCCCCTTCAGCCACTGTGCCCTGTCAGAATTACTGGCAAACAGCTTTCTCTCTTGACGAAGAC